TGCACACAAATAGCTGTACGTTTTTTCTTGTACTTTTGTTGGTGTCTTTCTGTGCTGCTTGCTTGTTGCTACTCACTTGGATTTACTCTAGGTTTTTGTTTTTTTTTTTTGATTTATGTACGCTTTGGCGCCTGATGCCTGCACCCATCAAACTTGCCCGCGCCCTTGTCGCGCGTTTTTCTATTCTTTTTATCTTTTTTCTGACAAACAACAATAACAAGGCACACGCAAAAAATTAATAAAAAAAAAAACAATAAAAAAAAAAATAAATGAAACAGTCAATTTTCGTTTTCAGCCAAGTTTAGCGCAATTTCAATGTTTAGTATTAGTAGCAGTATTTTAGTGCTTTTCGTATTTGGATTATCTTTAGCATATATTTAAGTATTTTTCGCACTAATAACAAAAATATGTGTATCAATTGATTTTTCACTAGAAAAAGCCACACTCGCACACACGCGCGCACGCACACACATGCAGGCAGAGACGAGACAACGACAATAACGGCACATACAAAAAAAAAAAAAAGAAGAAACAACGTAGACGGAGTCAAAGTCGAAGTCGGATACACGGCGGATATGTAAGACGAGACAAAATGCTGCTGGTTAGCTGGTTAGTTGGCTACTGGAGCTGCTGCTGCTGCTGCTGGCGCTTTGGCTGCTGCTAGCGCTGCTGCTGCTGCTGCCGCTGCTGCTGCTGCTGCTGCTGCTGCTAGCGCTGCTGAAGCTGAGCTCAGTGGCGTCGCTTTGGTCGTGTTTGTAAAGGCATTTTTTGCACCTTGCTTGGCGCACGCGAGGACAACGTGAGAGCGCACGAGCGCGCTGTCAACCCTGATGAAGCACGTTCGCTCTTTAACTTACGCTCTCTCCCTGTCTGTCACCCACAACAGCTGCACGCGGGCGCTTCCCACTCACGCACACACATACACTCTCGCTCTCTCTTTCTCTCTCTCTCTCTCTCTCTCTCTCTCTCGTTAACAATTGCGCGCTATTTGCTTGCGTTGAGACATAACAAAAAATTTACTGTTGCATAGCGCGGGGCGCGGAGCGCTTTTTATTACAGTTAGTCGCTGTTGTTGCAATCTTTGCCTGCAAATGGCACAATTTGCAAACGTTTTGCCACATTCTTTGTAATTTATGTGCCATGTGTAAGTGTGTGTGTGTGTGTGTGTGTACGTGTGCGCGCACGTGTGTGTGAGAGTGTGAGTGCTCGTAGTAGCTGCGCATTGCGCATGCTTACGCTAAGAGGCGCCCCGTCGTGTCCTAGCAGGACGTTGGGTCGCACACAATGCGAATCGTGGTGAAACCGTTTTTTGCGCGCGCGGTCACATGACACGAATCCCATACACACTCACACACACTCGCACACACACACACGCACGCACGCACACAGGGACACACAAATCTGTTGAGGTAGCAAGCAAAAAGCAAACAAGCCCCTCCCCCACCCCCAGCTACTGGCAATAGGCTTTGATTTTGTTTAAATTATATATGAGCGTGTGTTGCTTTAGTTCACATATTTATTGCACGCACACACGCACGCACGCACACACACAGTCACATGCACACATGCACATTCAGAACAATTATAAGCATTTACGTTAGCGAAACATTTGTGTAGAAGGAAACGTTGCACGTTATTTGGCCAAAAGGAAAGTCTAAACTGAACATCCGCGTTGCGCTCAACACTTTTGCTGCTGCTGCTGCTGCTGCTGCTGCTGCTGCTGATGTGTGTATGTGTATGTGTGTGTGCGTGTGTGTGCCGCGCAGTTTGAACGTGTATGTATATGCCCAATTAGAGAGGAGCGCATGTCGCAAACGTTTGCAATCGTGACGAGTCACGAGTCTAGAAATCTAATTAAACATAGATATATATATCTTTATATAACAATGTATATATAATGTTATATATATTAAGAATATATTTGTCATTTTTAATCAAATTAATAATGTTGAAAATCCAATTCTTTGGAAATTGTTTCCAGCTTCAAAAAGATACATAACAACTTATATAAACATATATTCAATTTAACTATTGCTGCTGGATTTGAACCAGCGACTGATCACTTGACCAAATAGACATTTGCCGCTGAGTTTGAAGTTTATGAGTTGTTTTATGCAAAGTTCGACCCGAATGGAAGCTTTAGTTTAAATGTCAGTTTCATAGTCGTTTAAGCTCTACTTTGATCGCCTTCTATTCACTCGGGGCTAAATCTTTAACTAGATTTAAATAAAAGCTTTCATTGTTAATGCAAGTTACTTAAAGTAACCCCCAAATGGGAAAAAACTATTTTTTACAAATAAAATAAATATTCAAATACAAACGACGCTTCAAATTTGAAAGCTTCGAATGTAACGAAGCTCCCAACTTTTAGAATTTCTATAGCATGCTTATGTACACATATTCAAGATTTCTACAGAATGTGTTTAAAATCTTTGTCGCAAATTTTGACTTTACTAAATTTTAATATTTTACAAATTCGAATCAACTCAAGATCCGTTTCAATAAACGAGCAAGCCCCAGATAAAATAATAATATTAAATATAATTAATATAGACAAAAATTAAATGAATATTCGTATTCTGATTGGATTGAAAATCATCCATCTCTATGCCCAATACACACACGCAGCATACACAATTGGTCAGTTTAAAATAAATAATATATACAAAAATTAAATGAATATTCGTGTTCCTATTGGATTGAAAATCATCCATCTCTATGCCCAATACACACACACACACGCATACATACACACTTGGTCAGCTTGGCAGCAGTTATGCAAAGCAGCGTCTCTTTGGTGAGCGTCGCGTCGCGTCGCGTCGAGTCGAGTCGCTTTAGGGTTGCCGCAGAGCAGAGCTTTGATTTGCGTTCACCCTGTCTCTAGGCCTAGTGCGCAATTTGGGCCAAGCGGCAATCCTGAAGCCATGGCCTGGAATCGATACTTGTTGTCCTCACACACACACACACACACACAGGCACACACTCATCAAAAATTTAATCAACCCAAATGTAAATACACGCATACAAACACGCGCACACATAATAGTAAAAAATTTGCATTGAAATTGTAATGAGTTATGCCGTTAAATGTGCTCCACTCCGCAGCCGCTCAGTCGCTTAACAGTTAGCCGAGGGCGGCCATATTAATAACAACTCTCTCTCCCCCATACACAGCAATACACGCATACACACCAGTATGTATACACTCGACCCATTAACACACAGAAAAGTATGCAATAAAAAAATGGCCAAGCTCTTGCGTCATATGCCCAGGAATCATCTTGGAATCGTGTTTGCAAATACGCACACTAACACACACGCACGCACACAATTTATCATCCCAATAAGAAACTTGTTGGGCAGGCACGCGCGCGTCAGCCACCACCAGCAGCAGCGGCGGCGGCAGCGGCAGGCGCTGTCGCCGTCGCCATCAGTTGGCGGTCTGTTGATAGCAATATGAGGGCGCCATAAACAACAAATGCGCTGGTGGTGGCAGCCCCACAACCATACCACAACCTCCATTGTTTGCGTGAGTGTGTGTGTGTGTGTTGAGCGAGATTACAAAAAGACTTCATCATTTTCGTTTAAGTGATTCATTGGTCAGTTAAATAGTTTTTATGATGCTGCGCGCAATGACGCCGACGCCGACGCTGACGTTGACGACGCAGCTGCTGCGCACACACACTACGCCAAAGCATGTTGTCATTTTTATCAGCATATGCATGTACCTATACACACACACGTACACATGTGCATGAGTATTGTACAATTTGCAAACACAAAAAAAAAAGAGAAGAAAAAAAGTAAAACGTTGACGCTGCAAACATAACATCATCAGCGAACAAAAACAACGACAACAACAACAACAACAAAAACGTACAAATTCCATTTCACAAAATACATTCAGACACCCCCACAGAAAATGCGCCCACCTGTTTCATTGCGTTTGGCACTGCGTTGTATATATATATACACTTATATAGAGATATATATGTGTGTGTTGACATCTGCACGCGTGGCCAATTAATTAATGCATTGCGTCGCAATTGTTGTTACGCGTATTGCAATTTTCGCACCTGAATTTCAACGCGCAGAACTTTTTCTCTTTTATACTTTTTTTTTCTTTAATTTTTTTTATTGCTCTTACGTTAACTTTAATCGTGTCGTGTGAAGCAACTTCATCGAACTGAGCCACCAAGTAAACAAACGTAATTTGCGCAACGTGAAGCTAACATAGGGCTGTTAACGCTGACAGCTTCGTAAGCTGCAATATCTGCACTGCTACCGCCAATCGGAGCACTTTTGCGTAAAATGCAAAACGTTCATGTAAAATGCGTAAATTACGCACAAAAGGCAACAATATTTCTGTTAAGTACAGTAACAGCAACGCAAAAATCAGCGGACCTAACGCAAAAATGAGCCGCAGATTCTGTTAAAATTTGTACATTTTAAAAGAAAACTTGATTTGAAGACATTGAAGACAGAAAATTGTTGATTGGAAAATAAATTTCATTTTAGTAACTCAATTCATAAGACAGCAAAAATCGATTTAAAATCAAATGTTAAGTTAATATTAAAAAATTATTTTTCAAATGTAAAAATAACATTTTTTAAGTAAAATTAGAAATTATTAAAAAAAATCAAATTAAATTAATGTAGTTGCAGAACAAATGGGAAAAATCACGAATAAAATGCCATCAAGAATCGTTTTAGTTTGGACAATCAAAAAGGGAGTTTTGTAATTAAGGGCATTTATTAGGAATTTGGGAATTAGGGGAGTTACCTATTGGATCTTTCTACCCAATTCTCGCCAAAATCAGTCCATTTTTCTATCTAGAGCCTTGCGCATTGCTTGTCTTGAAAATCTCGAAAACGATCGGATCATAAGCACCGAAGTTAACAAAGAAATTTCATGCATATTTTTACCGAACCGAAAGGGAAGGCGATATAATTACATGCTTGTTCAAAGTATTGAAAATATGAAAATAATTCGAGCATAATCGAGTACAATGCAGATTTATAAAACTTGGTTAATACACACAATATGCTTATTTACATAGACATAATATAAATTGCTATATATATATGGATATATATACATATGTATATGTATATGTATATGTATATACGATTATAAAAGTGTACAATTAATGCGGTTTGAGCTTAAGCTAGGATTGGGAGCCAAGCGAACTGGCATTAACGGGAGCCACGCAGCGCCCGATCAATTCGAGATGAGTATATTTGGCTCAATTGAGTGGAGGACATTGAAGCCCTTGTGTAGGATGCAGGTGCGCAGCACGCCGCAGGCGACCAAAAAGTGAGAGAACTGCAAAGACAGCAAAAAATATTAGTTACAAGTACAAAAAATTGCTCTAGTCGAAAGGGCCCGACTAGGTATACACCAAACCTATAGACTAGGCTAAATAGAATCCCAAATAAATTCGGCTCCTATAGTCCGATCTTTGCCAGATTTGGCAGAGCTTAAAATTAAAGCTTATATGCTGCTAAGCGCAAGGCTTTGCCTTTTGAAATTGTGTGCAGCAATGCAGAAAGTTGAATATTTCCAATCTGTCTAATCCGTAAACTATCTACTATATATATATCTACCTAACTATGGCATCTGCCATATATATATCTAGCCACAAGTGTGTTATGTGTGATCAAGAACTCATATGCCTTATGGAATCGATGAGGCTTCCTTCTGCCTGTTTTACCTACAAGTGCCCTCTGCTTAAACGATTTCAGTTTTTGTCCAGCTTCAAGTACAAACTGACCTCGACGGCGTGCTGATGAATATTGCTGACACAGACGACAATGCGTTGGCGCAGCTGCGCCTCCAGCTGCGGCACTTGCAGCGCCTCGAGACGCTGCTCGCCCAGCTGCACGGTGGCAAAGGGTATATTGATGCTGTGCGGCACATGGACGCGTCCGTATTCGACAACGCTGCGCAAATCGATGAGGGCCAGCTGCTGGGGCGTCTGCATCAGCAGCTGATGTACATCCTTGGCGCTAATGCGTGGACACTGCTCCGACTGCAGATGGCGCAGCTCCACATCCGCCAGCCCAATGTCCAGAGCATGCGTCGCCTGCGTCCGCAGCGCGTGCTGGCGATGCGTGATGCTCTTCGGCGTGCACTCGTACATCTTCTGCGACTCGATCACACAGCTCTCCATCACAATGTCGGGCAGGTCGGAGAAGAGCAGTATGCACTCGTTGAACCCGGAGCTGAGCAGCGTGCTCTTCAGCTGCTTCAGTATCGCGACGCCAATGAACAGCGGATACGAGCTGTCGCCCAGCATCAGCTTGTCCCACAGATGCAATATCTTATGCAGCGGAAATACATCTGCATAAAAAAAGAGAAGCCATTTGAATACATGTATATATAGATGCATAGTTAACTGTGTGTTCCGGCTGACTGACTGATTGACTGACTGACTGATTGATTGATAATCCACGAACAGCCCAAGGCAACATAAATGGGGCATTCCACGTGCAGCTGTGGAAAATTGGTGGAAAACTGTTGTGTGAAACTGTACATTTGATTACCAGCCGATTTGCCTAAAACTCATTTTCAAAGTTCCTTAAGAAAAATAAATTTTTAAAGTTTTCACACTTTTCGCAAATTCACCCCTTGGTGAAAATGGGGTGAAAGATGAGAAATATTGAGTTCAAAGATCTTTGTGAAAATAAATTTGAGACGTGTTTCACATTTATCCGTCTGGGGGAAATATGTTACAAAATGTTGCATTCCACTTATATTTCACCATTTCATCTAAGTGGAAAATTTTGCATTCTATCAACATTCCATCTGCGTATTCCACCTTTTTATCTGGGTGGAATATGTTACAAATAGTTGCATTTCCTTCAACATTCCGCCATTCGGCCAATATTCCACCATTCCATCTGGGTGGAAAATGTTGGATTCTACTAATGTTCCACTATTCCATCTGCTTTAAATATATTGCAAAAAGTTGAATTTCATTCAACATTCAGCCATTCCATCTGGGTATTCCACCAATATTCCACCTTTCCACCTATATTCCACCAAAGCAGGTGAAATTACTAAAACCACGTATTAAGGCGTGAAGTGCGCGCCGTCCATCAGTCAGTCAATCAGCTGGTGAATCAGTCGAACAGGACACACAGGATCTACATACGTGAGAACATGGTCAAGAACCAGGGTATGGCGAACAGCTCCGGGATGAAGTTAATGCTGGCCAAGTGCTGCGCCAAGAGGGGCTCATGGAACGCGCTCAGCTGTGAAAATTTGCTCAGATATTCCTTAATAATAGCCGAGTTATCCTTCAGGAAAAACCACTGCAGATACTTCGGTATGAAACGGTACAGACTCAGAAATGCGAGCTCTCAGAGAAGATTACAAGAGAGATGATCAGATTATTATGCCTAGAAGAGAATTGCAATTGAATTGATACCCTCATTGTTGAAATTGAGATAGAGAAAGGGCGCGGTCAGCGAGTCGAGTCCCTGCCAGTAGACATACTGCGGATGGGCCGTCACCCAGGCCTTGAGCAGGCGCTTCAGCTTCCGATGGCCGTCCGGCGAGGAGAGCAGCTCGTCGTACTGATGGCAGCGCGGTATGTCCACCTCGATCTGGCGATCCGTGCTGGTCGCCGTAAACTTGTCGATTTTCGCATAGCTCGCATTGGGCAGCACGCCCAGCAGGGCCGCCCAAATGGGGCCGCGCAGCAGCGGTGGTATATCAATGGCCGCCTCCCGGTGCAGCTGCTCGGCCGTGTGCGGATAGCCCTGGAGCAGCCGTGTAAAGAGACGGACGCGCCGGAATTGATACTCAATGTCGCGTTCGCGTATGAGCAAAGGCAGTTCTTGCTGTTGTAGCTGCTGCTGCTGCTGCTGCTGCTGTTGCTGCTGCTGCTGCTGCTGCTGCTGCTGCTGCTGCGGCTGCAGGCGTTGCGCGTGCAGCAGCGGAAAGTAAACGCTGGCCGGCAAGCGGCTGAGTCGCTGCAGCAGCGGCTGCAGCTTGAGCAGCACCACACGCTCGTCCATCAGATGCGATTGGCTGCGCGGCGGGCAGACGCTGGCGCCGCTCAGTCGAACAATTTGCGGCAGGGCCAAGATGGGCGCCTCGCTGCGTATGAGTCCCTCCTTTTTCAGTTCCGCCTGCACATCCCCGCCGGCCAGCTGCCACAGGTGATAGATTTGCGCCAGCGGACAGCGCAGCAGCAGCAGCGGCAACGACTCCACGGCGGCCGGCTGCGCTTGCCCATCCACGCCCAGCTGTGCGAAGCAGGCGTGCTGCAGCAGCTCGGCGGGCAGCGGTCGCTGTGCCGGCAGCACGCTCAGACAACGCTCGAGCAGCTCGCGCACGGCGAGCGGCAGCTGCTGATATCGCTCCCAGCGCTGATGTTCGCGCGCTATTTTCTCGACAACGCCGCCGGTGGTCGCGTTGCGCGCAAAGGCCAACAGCTTCCAGGCAATGTTGCTCAGCTTGAGTTTGGGCCAGAGCTCCGTTTGCAGCAGCTGCTCCAGCAGCAGCATGGCCCAGGCCCAAATATCGCTCTTGATGTTATCGTTGGCGCCAAGCAGACGCTCCGGCGCCATATAGCGTATATTGCCAATGGGAAAGGGCACATAGGCGCCGCCCTTGGTCATATAATGCATGCCATAATTGAAGAGCTTGACGCGCACAGCTCCCGCGCGGCTCTCCACGAGTATGTGACGCGGCTCCAGATTGTGCACGACCAGCTTGTGTCCGTGCAGCACATTCAGACCGCTGGCCACCTGCTGGAAAATGCACAGCATCTGTGTGAGGGTCGTCGGCGCTTGCCGCTTCACGTGCTCCTCCAGCGTGCAGCCCATGTACTCCGAGACCACAATGGTGCGCTCTAGAAATAAGAAGACACTGGATTAAATTGTATACATGGCAGGCGTGGGGATGCAGTTGGCCATTGTGATTCCTGTGTTTACCATGCTTGCTGCGCACCACGTCCAAGTACTGACACAAATGCTCATGCTGCAGCTCCTTGAGCCGCTGGGAACGCCCCAAAATTGCTATCGAATTCGGCGTCAGGGGCAGGCCATTGCTGCCGCAGACATCGCCCGGATGCAGTTTGGCAAAGAAGGTGATGGCGCAGAGGCGTCGCGTCTCCGTCGAGCCGCCAGTGGCCATTTGGGTGGCAGGCGCTAATCAAAACACACAGCCACGGGGCCTGTGTAGCCAAAGGGCAGCAAAATTATTTGCCACTCATCAGCGCAATCAGCTGTTACGTGCAGCGTTATCGTTATCGATAAACAGCATTCATTGTCAAACACTGCTTGACCATTGCGCAACACTGCAACAAGTTTGTTTATGCTGATGCACTAACAGTGTGACCCCCAAGACTTTCACAAGTTATATGAAACGCACTCAATTATTAATGAACATTTTTTAAAAATATAGATAAACAATTAATTATTAGTAAAATATATTTATATTTTATTTGAAAAGTAATTGCAGTAATTGCTTGTCCTTTATGCTATTTTGATTTTTTTGTTGAGTCTAGAACAATTGTCTCTTGCCACCATGTGGTAAGAGTATTCAATATTCACCATGCTGCCATTTGCTGCAGCTACTTGGTATATTTTTGTTGTTGTGTTTGTGTTTGTGTTTTGTTTTTATTGCGCACTCGAAATAGTTTCCATTTCGTTTTGTATATAAAAAAAAAGGCGTTGATATGGCAATTTTGCAGCAGCTTGAGCGCAGTTAGTCGTCAACGGCGCCATATCGAGTGCGCGCTCCGCACTGCCGCGAACTGGCAAACAATTTGAGAATTCTGTCTGAATTAGACTTGAATTGCGCTTCGCAACGTTGTCACAAGCATGTCGTTTCTGGTTGAGTATACGGAGCCCCATTGGCGGGATTTGGATATGCGCGCCCTGGGCGCCGACGAGGCCTACATGTATTTGCAATCGGAGCATGCGGAGGCCAGCTATCTATATACCCTTTCCGATGAATGTTATACGGTATGTCAACACAGTTTCCCGCCACATTGCAGTTAAAAAGCTTGCTGTTGTTTTTGCAGTGTCCGTTTACCAAAGTGAAAGCTCTGCCCGCCGCTGGCTCGCTGCCGCTGGAACCGTTAAAGCTCAGCACCGCATACCCGTTGAGTTTCAAAATTTATGCACACGATCAGGGTCACTATGCCTACGAGAATGTGTATGTGTTGCAATCGGTGTGTGCGTGTGTGTGTGTGTGTGCGCACGTGTGCGTGTGTGTGTCTTACTAGGTTCTAGAGTTGAGCGCGTTTCGTGTTTTTGTCGTGACACGATGCAAGCGCGTGATCGTGTTCAGGAAAAAAAGGGATTTTTAAACTGATCTAATGAGCTTTTTGAATCATTCTGAGTTGAAATGTAGTTGATATTGCTTTTTATCAAGCTTAGAAAAGGAAAGTACGCTAAATATTATCGGTTAAATGTTACAAAAGCTCTAAAGATAATGATAAATGTTCGTTTAAACTAAACTATCGAGTCCGGCTTGAAAGTTGAATTAGCTATATATATCGTGTCTAGATCGAAGACCATATTTCCAAAATTTTGTCTTCTGTTGGTAACGTGTTGCCATCTCTACTACGCTCATATGCTATCTGCATATGCATATATAGTATATACATACATACATATTTATATGGCTCCAGTTGCAATTATATTATCATGACATCTGTTTACACGCTATTCTTATTAGTGTGGGCGTGTGTATATATGTGTGTGTGTGTGTGCACTTTATTCACTTGATTTCTCTTTTATGCGCTTCTCCTCTTTCCACACCCCCGCAGCTCATCTTTGTGCGCGCTGCGTCGCAGCGATCTTCAAGAATTTGGCGTATATAACCTCACACTGCTGGCGAATGGCAGCTGCAGCTTTGCCGTTGACAAGCCCGGCGTGCCCATTAATTACGGTAAGTGCCGATTTCCTCCGTTAGCCAATCTAATCGCCATTATCATCAAAATATCATCTATAATGTAAAAGCTTAGGCAGCATATTGAGGGTTTTGTTGTTGTTGTTGTTGCTTAGATCAAAAGTCGTACAGTATTCAGTCGATAATAAGAACATTGAGAATTAAGAATTGGATGATTAGTCATTCTCAATGTTCAATCTATATTTGTTCTTATTTTCGACAAATGCTTTAAACATTTTTTCTCAGCTTTGAGTATATATAGTATAGTATATTATATCGGCTGCCAATTTGCGAGTGACTACTGTAGCACAAATTTTTACAGATTCAGCTAAATTGGGCTTAATGTTGGGGTTTTTTCCCAGTTTCTCGGAACGGTCTGTTGTTCGTTTGTAATTGGAATTGGAATTTTCATACATATGGTTATAGAAAATATTCAGGGAATGGTTTTTGACATACAAGGCATACGACGCTACCTTTTAAGGCGAGTCTATTCCAAATTGTGGCGAGAATGGGGGAATGGCTCCAAAAGTGGGTTTGTTTTCAATCTGCGCACATTATTCGGGAACGTACCAAGTTTGGCGTATATAGCATTTATGAGTTCTGCTTAAAAGATCTAGGCTTAAAATCGATTTTTATCGATATCGAAATGGTCTGAGATTACTCTCTCTCTCTCTCTGTCTCTATCCCTCAATATTACTCTCTCTCCCTATCTCTGTATCTCTATACATTTCTCTCTCTCTCTCTCTCTCTCTCTCTCTCTATCCCTCTATCTTTCTCTCTACCTCTCTTTCTCTCGCTGTCTCTCTTTTTCTTAGCCTATCTCCTTTTCTGTATCAACCGTGGTCTATTTTACAATTCTCTCTTGTGCTGTGTCCTTAAACGTTTTACAAGCACTTTAGGTTTTAGTACAGGCTTAAACATTTTAACCGATTGGCGACAGATGATATGGTATGATTCTTAAACGTTTTACTGGCAGACTTTTAAGGCTCCCCTTATCATATTCGAATTCCTCGATTTGTTTCTCCCTATGGTGATTGAATTCCTCAATTCATCTCTCCTTTTGATATTTGAATTCCTCGATTCGTCTTTCTCTATGATTCCTTAACTCGTAAACGTTTAACTGGCAGAGCAGGCACACGTGCTAAGTCTGTCTTTATGAAATTTAAATATCTTGCCTTGTAAACGTTTTACTGGCAGCGCTGCCACTTGCTGAGTCTGTCCTTATGATTAATTAATCGATATGTCTCTCATTATATTCGAATTCATCGATTTATCTCTCCCTAAGATATTTAAATTCCTCGATTCGTAAACGTTTTACTGGCAGCGCTGAATTCCTCGATTCGTCTCTCCTTATGATATTCGAATTCCTCGATTACTGGCAGCGCTGAGTTCCTCGATTCGTCTTTTCCTTTAATATTTAAATTCCTCGATTCGTAAACGTTTTACTGGCAGCTCTGCACACGTGCTGATTCTGTCCTCATGATATTCGAATCCTCAATTCATCTCTCTCTAATATATTTAAATTCCTCAATTCGTAAACGTTTTACTGGCAGCGCTGAATTCCTCGAATCGTGTCTGCTTATGATATTCGAATTCCACGATTCGTCTCTTCTCCTATAATATATAAATTCATTGATTCGTAAACGTTTCACTGGCATCCATTTAATTGACATACTGTACCTACTCCTTCAGCCTTCCTGTCCGTCTTTGTGCTGGTGGCAGCGCTGGTAATCCTGCTGAAGCTGGTCAGCTGTGCCTGGAAGCGTTACCGCTACGATGAGGCTGCCGCCGTGGCGGACAGCATTGGGGATGCCGCGGCGAAGGCGACGCAGCGCAAGCGGCTGCGCAGTCTGGACACGTTTCGAGGGTAAGCGAATACCCTGTAAAACTAAATAACCTGTTTAACAGACTTGCTTTGGCCTTTGTTGCAGCCTGTCCATTGTGCTGATGATATTCGTGAACAGCGGCGGCGGCGGCTACAGCTGGATTGAGCACGCCGCCTGGAATGGCCTCCATCTGGCCGATCTAGTCTTTCCCAGCTTCCTCTGGATCATGGGCGTTTGCATACCTCTCTCGATAAAGGCGCAGCTGGGGCGTGGCATTAGCAAAGCTCGGATTTGCGGACGCATCATTTGGCGCTCGTGCAAACTGTTTGCGATCGGGATCTGTCTCAATTCGACGAATGGCCCCCAGCTGGAGGAGCTGCGTCTGATGGGCGTGCTGCAGCGTTTCGGCATCGCCTTCCTGATTGTTGGCCTGCTGCATACCGTGTGCAGTCGGCGGGATCAGCTCAGTCCGCAGCGCGCCTGGCAGCGCGCCATCTATGACATCTGCCTGTTCAGCGGGGAGCTGGCCGTGCTCCTGGCCCTGATTGCCGCCTATTTGGGGCTCACGTTTGGCCTGCCCGTGCCGGGCTGTCCGCGCGGCTATCTCGGACCCGGCGGCAAGCACAACAATGCCGCCAATCCCAATTGCATTGGCGGCGCCGCCGGCTACATTGATCGCCAGGTGCTGGGCAATGCCCACATCTATCAGCATCCGACGGCCAAATATGTGTACGATGCAACCGCCTTCGATCCGGAGGGTGTCTTTGGTAAGTTCAGGGGGAACCGGCTTTTCCACATCCAACTCACACTTTCTTCTCCGTTCTTCCTTTGCAGGCTGCCTGCTGAGCGTGGTGCAGGCGCTGTTGGGCGCCTTTGCCGGCGTCACGCTCCTGGTGCATGCCACGTGGCAGGCGCGACTGAAGCGCTGGCTGCTGGGCGCCACGCTCCTGGGCCTGCTGGGCGGCGCTCTGTGCGGCTTCTCCAGGGAGCAGGGCGTCATACCGGTTAACAAGAATCTGTGGTCGCTCTCGTTTGTGTTCGTGACCGTTGCCCTGGCTCTGGTGCTGCTCTCGCTGCTCTACTATGTGATCGATGTGCGCCAGTTGTGGTCCGGCTATCCGTTCACCGAGTGCGGCATGAATGCCATCATCATGTATGTGGGCCACACGATTATGCACAAAATGTTGCCCTGGCATTGGCGCATCGGTGCGATGAATACGCACTTTCTGCTGCTGCTGGAGGCCGTGTGGAACACGCTCATCTGGGTGGGCATCGCTCTCTACCTGGACGCGCGACAGTTCTACTATAGTCTCTAAACCGTTTGTCGAATTTGTCAATTAAATAACATATGTTTCTCCCATGTGAACTTTATCTCAATCTGGCTGGAGCGAACTTCATCTATAGATGCCCCAATGGCATGCTCATAATATATTATTACCATATATATATATGTATATATATATATAGTATATCGGAGCAGTTGCGCGATTAATTACATTCTCAACT